TGTCTGGGAGGGGGTGGGGCTTGTCACCAGGGGGTGTGGCCAGCTGCAGGGGGCGGAGCCTTTGTCACCTGTCTGTGTGGGTGGTGTCTCCTTGGGGGTGTGGCCTCATCCCAGATGGGTGAGGCTCAGTGGGTGGAGTTGGCTGGAAGGGGTGGGGCTTTCCCCATCCTCACCTGCAGCTGTGGCTGGGAGAGGGGAGGGGACTTGTGGGTGGAGCCTCTCCAGGGGGTGGGGGTCAGTGGTGTTGGGGGTGTGGCCTCTCACGGGGGGGTGGAACCTTTCGTCTCCCGACTTGCAGTTATGGAGTCTCTTCCAAGTGGGTGGAGTATCTTGAAGGGGCATGGTCTCTCTTGGTGGATGGGGCTTGTCCTGTGGGTGTGGTCTGCTGGGCAGGGCCTGTCCTGATGAGGGGTGGGGCTTGTCTCAATAGGGGCGGGGCCTCTTGGGGTGTGCCAAACCACAGGAGGTAGATGCTTTGTTATTTTTTTTTCTGAAACATCTGATAAATAGAGATTTCAGTGGGTGTGGCTTGTGTTTGTGGGTGGGGTTTGTGTGAAAAAAGGTGGGGTCTCAGGGGGTGTGGTTTCTCCAGGGGTCACAGCCCACCTCAGGAGGTGGAGCTTCCACCACTCTAGATTGCCATAATGAATGGATAGAGGGGTTCTCTGGAGGGTGTGTCCCCTCCCAGAGGGTGTGTCCCCTCCCAGAGGGTGTGTCCTAACTAACCCCACCCACAGGTGCAGCATGGGCGGGGCCAGGGGCTCCGCTGTCCAATGAGGCGCTGCTGTTCCATGAGAAGTGCGGGGCCCTCATCAAACTGAGCAACGGGCACAAGACAGCTGAGCGCCGGCGGCCCCTCGACGAGTTCAACAATGGCGTCGTCCTCACCAACCGGCCCCTGCGCGATGGCGAGATGTTCGAGGTCCGGGGGTTCTTTGGGGGCCTTGGGGGGCATCATGGGGCTTTTTGGGCCATCACTGGCATCCTGGGTGGTCGTGAAGGGGATTTGGGGGGTCCTGGGTGGCGTCTTGGGGGCATCAGGGGTGTCCTGGGTGGTCATGGGGGGTCCTGGGGGGCATTATATGGGGCCTGGCTGGCATCATCAGAGTTTTTGGGGCATCAGGCTGGTCTTTGGGGCATTATGGGGGTCCTGGGGGGGCTTGGGAATGTTCTGGTGGTGTTGTGAGATTGCTGAAGGGCACCACAGGGCTCCTGGGGGGGCTTATGGTGGTCATGGGGGTCTTAGGAGCACCACAGGGGTCCTGAGGGCGGTCATGTGGGGGTCCTGGGTGGTTGTGTGGGGTCTTACAGGGGTCCCTGGGGCATTATGAGGGTCCTGGGGGGCCTCACGGGGGTCCTGAGTGGTTGTGGGGGTCTTATAGGGCA